GTATCACCCATTATTGTCACCTGGGAATTCTGTTTTCTCTTTCTACTGTGTTCCATGGTGGGGATATTATCCAGATTACCGAAGCCAGCTCCCTGAAGTACCAACACTTAAAAAGTTTCTCAACCTCTTCCTCCGATTCCGCATCAGACCAAGGGACCTGAGAACCATCCGCCGAGTAGCTCAAGCCATAGCTCGGTCCTCTCTTCTCCCTCACTCGCTGCAGTCCCCACTCTGCTGGTCACGTGCCCTAAATCTCTCCGCCCGCACTGCTACCACTCTGGCTGGTCCACGGTTCTGGAGAAATGCGCCTGCCTCCTCATTGGTCTTCCTGCTCCTTCCTCCAACCCGTTTTCAAAACTCAAATCGGACGATGCTGCTCATCTGGTCAGATGCTCCTGTGGCTCATCGTTGTCCTCAGCGGGAAGAGAGGGGGCCGGGAACCAAGATAGTTGACAAAGCGATACAGGAACTGGCTTCAGCGACTCCAACGTGAGCCATAACTGTGTTTAGTATCCGAAGACTGTCTTATAGGGACTGCTGGGGACACACTTTTTTCCCCTCCTACTCCTGGATAAGGATAACTCCTCTTTTGTCGGCCTCAGCCTGGGTCGGCATCTTGCAATAGAACCTTCTACGATGATGGAAATGTTCTAGGTAATCCACATGCAGCTTTTGGGCGCTTGAAATGGGGCCAGTGAGAACTGAGTTTTTGATATTATTTAATTTGTTAATTTAAAATTTAAAAGCCACATGTGGGTTGTGGCTACCATATAGGAAGCCTAGGATACGTCTTCCTCTAAACCCCAAGCCTTCTGGGAATCTCCCTGTCTGATCTGCACCATTTCTGCCACCTACATGCTCACCACAAAGTAGTGTAATGGTTTACTCGTGTGTCCTCCCCCATCTCTACAAAAGCCAGCCTAGGTCTGATTTAGCTTTGCACGCCCAGAACATAGCCCAATGCCTGGCATCAAGGGCACACTCGGTAGGTACGTCTTGAGTAAATGAATGAACTAGTGAAGAGATGGTCCCAGACCTTTGCAATTTATTTATTCTCCTGGCTGTGAGGAGATCAGGAAGGGCGGGTTGAAAGAGAACTCGCCGATACACTGGCCAGGCTTATCTGGCACGGTGCGGGGCCTTGCCGTGCCACCTCCTCCGATGTCCTGTAAGATAGCATATCCCTTGGTATGTGACAAGGGCAGGAAGTGGACATGGCTGTGGGGGCTGCCTAGCAGGTGACAGGAGGAGGAACTGTCTGTGGTAGCGTGTTGAAAAGACACACCCCTGTGTG